AAAAAAAAGAAAAAAAAAAAAAGAATCAGACGACACACTTCAAGAATGAAATAAATAATTTAAATAAACTTGGAAACCTAAATTGAAAAACTGAGAAAAAAGAAAAAAGTTAGAAATGTTTTATTAGATGGAAGTGCAGAAGAAAACTTTGTGTTTCAGCAGCAGCACATGCTGCTTTAGGACTCCATTTTAAAAACCCCAAATCAACCCAAACTGGGATGTATTTTTTTTTAAAGTTTCCTCATAATTTGTTTTGTACTTGTTCCTGATTAAGAGATTTCAAATATAAATAAAGCCAAAATGCATACCTTTTCTGCTTTTTTGTCAGAAATGTCTTGCTTTTCCAGAACAGCCATGCTCTCCTTCAGGTTCTTCACAATGTCTGCTGGAGATTTGTGAGACTTCCCGAACGGGAACGGCATGACGGCAGCGCCAGAGGCCTCCGCTGCACTCTGCCTGCTCTATCTGCAACACAGCACAAAGCTCATGTGAGAAAAAAGTGGGATTAATAGAAGACATGCTTTCTAAATCCTAACTTGGGAAAGAAAACCAGTGTTAAAGAAAGTCATTTTACATGACTTTCAAAATCAGCAGGAACAGGGACACCCACTGACATTCACCAGAAATGATAATACAGAGATGTCTTACAATTATAGAACACCTTGTTACTTTTCAAAACATTTTTTTCCTTTTCATTCAAATCATCTGCTCTCCTAATCACCCATTTGAGGAACATGCCGATTGATGCTGCTGATGTAGGTGATGCCTACAGCAGCTAACACTCACAGGGCAGCTACTACTGCCAGGCATGACGCTAAGCACTTTAATTCATCACCTCATGGAATCCTTTCAAACAATCCTGAGGGACATTATTTTTCCCGTTTAGTGGTGAAGTTTAGCAAGGTTGAGAATCAGGTTTAAGGTACTAAGTGGTAAAACGAGCTCAGGTCTGTCTTGATCCAAAGTGTCCTACCGCACTGTACCTCCAATTAATAGGTATCTCTATCTTACAATTGAGGAGACTGAGGTAGAAAGCTAGGTAAGGAGCTTAGCCAAACCGCAGTGGCAACAGGTGTACTACTTAGGTCTCTCCAGATGCTTTTTCCCCCAGCACTCATGCTGCTTCTCCTAAACACCAAACACACACACACACACACACACACACACACACACACACACACAAACACACACTTCCTCCTCGTCAGTCAGTCACAGGGGCTCAGAGCTGGAGAGAACCCTGGATGGCACTCTGGACAACTCTCCCAACAGATCTTCCAATCCTTTATGTGACAGTTTCAACATGTACTCTTTCTGCAGGGATGTGATCATCTCCTGTGAAAGAACTCACTGGATAAAACTCTGGGGATAATGAACTTTTGGAAGTTCTTAATTTTTTGTGGGTAGCAGAAAACATTTCAACCACATAAACCATAATATTACATCATCCAAAAGGAGGACATGCAACTATCCCAAGAAGCCACTGAAAAAATGAAGTTAACAAGACAAACAATGGAAGTGACTTGGGAACACATTGGCAGTTACAATTTTTCACTAAATAAACTAAGAGGATAAACTCATAGGCATCAAATAGCCTCATATCGGACATCAAAAAGTAACACTTTTCAGAAGAACCCTGTGGATCACTTAGGTCAGTGGTTTTCAAACTGTGAGTTGCAACCTCCTATATTTACCTGCCCTAGGGGCCCCTCACACACACCAAAGTAGGAAGAGGTAGGTCTCAGACACCCCAACTCTACTTTGTTCTCCCCCAATATAAACACAAAAATATCTCCATTGCATAGTATCATCACCCTTCTTTTGAACTTTGCCTAAGATTTCATTTGAAGAAAGAACTTGAATATTTTTTTCCCTAATGTTTGAGATAGAGTGACCTATATATCTGTTTGCAGAGAATAAATGTTTAGGGGAAGAGCATACAATTGAATGCTAATGTTAAGCCTACAATTAAATCCAAAGTATATTATTTCTCAACATGTTTTGATGTGATCTGTTCTGACCAATCTCTATCCCCAAATATTGCCTATCTTACCTTCTGTCAGCTTGTAAATCCTTTTTTGATCAAATTACAATCACATTTTCATTAATCAAAGAGAAACAGACTAATACATGTCTTCTGCCATAGGTTCTCAAAATTCAAGGATGCTTAAGTCCACTTCTAAATAACACTTCCATGACAAGAAGTTTGGCCTGACTATAGGGGAGTCACTCCCAACTAGCTATTAAATTATCTCTCTGATTACCCAGCTAGATGGGACACAAATCCTGGATTGTTCTTTTCCATTACATGTTTTTTTTCTCCTTTGTGGGGGGACACACAGGTTGCTTCTCCATAAACACATTGGGTCACACTCATAATAAAGTCCTCTGAAAATATTATCTTTCCTATCTGTAAGTCTGCAAAGAATAACAGTGATGTTATATATGTCAATGCTGGGTGGAGGGTGGGAATATTTAATGGTATTTTACAGGAAGTGCTATGGTGCTATGCAACAGAGATATTTTCAGCTCTGGCTCAACAGTGGAAGAGGTCACTTTCCAGGGTAAAGGAGATTTAAAAGTCCTATCACACCCCAAATGCTGGTCACAGCAGAAAGAGCACAGTGCCAAAGAGAACACACATATAAAATGCTTCTGAGTGGGGAAGGGCCAGTGTGACACCATCATTCCTCTTAATTAACATGCCAGGTAGCTAAGATTTTACAGAACGTATGAATTCGTAAGACTGCATTCCAAGGAAATACAGTCAGTAACAAGTACCAAAACGAGAAGTGACATTCCTCAGCAGGATCCAATCACATTGGTGAAGTTATTCATGACATGCTCATATTCTCTCCCCTGCTTTGTAAGTCTTTTTTCTATGATTTAGTTTTAAAAATGATTATTTGTTTACTTTCTCTTAAGTATACATTTCTTATTTTTAAATTATGAGTGCAATAATTCTCAACAAATTCTTTATGTCTTCAGATTCACTAACTCTTAACAAAACTACCCAAGATTTTGGTGGGCAAAAGCAAGGAAATAACACTTCCTAAAACTTCTGCATTAGAGAATTTCTGTTTCTTATGTCTAGGTTTGCCATGAAGTAAGCTTAACACATTGGTTGCCACACTAGAAAAAAATTTTTTTCCCTGGGGCCATGGTGGTTTATTACGAAAATAGCATAAGAACTTGGAAAACAAAATGATTCTTTCTAATTTAATGAAAAACTTGTTATTTTTTATTGTTTTCCGTGAGTTACACGCAACTTGAAAAATAGTTCACGTGGCTCAAGGTAAAGAGACATGTGAGTTACATATGCTTGATGGGCCCCGGGCTGAAAACTAGCATGAGTTAAATACAATTCACATGGCAATTAATGTGTTAAATACCTTGATGTTTCAGTCAACAACAGACTACATACACAACAGTGGTGCTATAAGATTATAATGGAGCTGAAAAATTCCTGTCACCCCGTGATTTGTGTTACAATTGCCTACAGTATGCAGTACAGTAAGATGTTATAAAGGTTTGTAACCTAGAAGCAATAGCTACACCATATAGCCTATGTGTGGAGTAGTCTATACCATCTAGGTTTGTATAAGTACACTCTAAGGTGTTTGCACAAGGAAAGTGCCTAACGACACATTTCTCAGAAGGTGTCTTCGTCCTTAAGTGGAGCATGACTGTGCTAATGTATGCCACTCAGTGATCCAACTTTTAAAATAATTGAAAATACAGAAAAACTTAGAATTAAAGAATAGCCCCTAAGC